CATCTGTTGCTGAGATAATTACGTCACAAAGGATGACAGGAAAGGACAATGAATCAATTTTAGCTCATTGATACAAATCCAGATCAAGATGTCAGTGATCAAAAATTTCTATTTGATATTTGCTTATATCTGAGTTGATGATCTCAAGTCTATTTCCTTTTGGACAAGTGCCCACATTACTAAAAGCAGGGCCATCCTCTTCCTGTCCCGCTCTTTCACCTCCTGCTTCCAGTTGCACCCCAAGGCTACGTGAGCTACGTGACTTGGGGATCTGGCACAGGGCAGCAGCAGAGGTTAAGCTCACTGCACTCAGCATAGCAGATGCTCCCTAGGCAGATGCCCTATCCCCTAGTTCACTCCAGGACCCACCCCATCTCCCTACCTTCAGGACATCCATTGTCCTGCCTTTCTAATACCAGACTGCTCCATTCCCGGGGAACTGGTGTTGCCTGTCCAGCTGCTCCAAGAGTAGAACCCATCCCACCACACTACCTTCAGCGCATCTCATATGCTGCCTTACTAATGCAGGAACCAGCTCCATCTTTGAGGCAAAGGGTGTTGGCCCCCCAGTGGCTGCCTGGGTAGGTGGGGGGCGGGGGGTTTGGGACTTGTAGACCGTCCCCTGCACTCCCCATGCAAATACCCTATCCCCAAGGCCAGAGGTAGCCAGAGAACTGAAACAGAGGCGGAAAAAATGCGAAGAGCGCCACCAGAATTGTTGAAGGGGGGAGGGGAGAATGCTTTCGGAGACACCATTTTGAGTCACCACACCAGACAGCTCCTCTGCCCCGGTGAGTACAGGGAGCCAGGGGCCATTTCTAGGGACTCAGGGGAGGCTTTGCGAGCTGCACTTTAAGGGGGGAAAAGCCGCATGCAGCTCGCGAGCCATGGGTTGGCCACCCCTGCCACTCCAGAACCCATCCCACCACACCACCTTCAAGACATCCATTATCCTGCCTTACACCAATTTTTCCAGGGATGGTGCAGGCAATGGTATTAGGAAGGCAGGATAAGGGATGTCCTGAAGGTAGGATGGGTTCTGGAGTTGCCTAGTGGATAGGGCTTACTACATTTAAAACGGCAGAGCCACAGTGGGGTTAGCTCCCAGGGCCGGGAGCTAACTCGCTGCGGCTCTGCAATTTCCTCCCTTATCAACTAATTGAGTAGTCGATGGAAATTCCATCGACTACCTGATTAGCTGTTTACCTGCAATTGAACATCCCTATCCAGTACCAGGTGGTCTAACACCAATCACTTTCCGCTTAAAGGACACACAAGGCCATTCACAAGTTGTTGATTTGAGTACTGAATCATTAAATACTCGAAGTATAGTAGTGGCCCTCATTAACACATTTAAAGCTATAAAACAGATTAACACTTCAGATTTTTAACTTCACATACAAGAATAATATGTGCACAAAAATAAGATATACAGATCCATCAGACTAACATTAAAATCAATAGGTTTACATGAAGTATTTTGTCTAAAGCATCTTTGAGTTATGCACATTCATATTTATAAGCCAATTCTCATAAAGCATGACAGGGAGGGTCACAATTGGTATTTCAGTCTAAAAGGGAAAGGTGTAACACAGGCCAATGACTGGAAGGAAGGCAAGACAAATTCAGACTGGAAACAAAGTATATGTATTGAACATTGAAACAACTTACCAAGGGTTGTGGTAGATTTTCCATTACTGCCCACACTGATCACAAATCAAAACTGGATTTTTTTCTGAAGAGATATGCTCTACAAACTATTTTGAGGAAGTTCTATGGCTTGTGTCGTATAGGAAGTCAGACTAGATGACCACACCCACGTGTTTTTCAGAGCCACTGCTTCCGAAGACAGACTCCCCTTCCTGTCAATATGGCCTAAATATACTATTCTAAAAGATTTACACCTAGATGTATTAACGTGCGTAGTGTTGGTTTGCTTCCAGCTTATCAAGCAGTCCTGACTGCTTTGTATCATTAACATCTCCTCATCTCTATTTTTTGTACCCCTGATGACTGTGTCATCTGCAAATGTTATCAGCGATGATTTTATATATATTTTTTTCATCATTAGTAAAAATACTAGAAAGCATAAGGTCAAGAACAGATACCTACAAGATCCCACTAGGAATGAACAAGCTCAGTGAACTATTCACAGTTACATTTTGAGATCATCTAATGTGTGACATATTAATTTTATATTGTTCTAATTTTTCCAGTTAAAATGTTGTGCCATATCAAATGAAGTACTTCACAGAAGTATATTACTTCAGTCTTATTATCTTTATCAACCATAAAAAAGTTAGTTTGACAGTATTTATCTTCTATAAACCCAGATTAATGCAATTAATGCCAATCACTTACTAATCACACTGCGTATCAGCCATTCTGTTATCTTGCCCAGGACTGATGTTATACTGACAGGTCTATAGGTACCAGGCCACACAGTTCAGTCTTTTTAAATTCTGATGCAGCATTCTTTCAGTTGTTGGGAACTTACCCAGTCTTCCCAGGTTTGCTGAAAATAATGTCATTATTTCTCTGTACTTCCTGAGCTGCTCACTGAGCATAGGGTCTTTGGAGTCCAAGGCCATGAACTCTATTTCAGATCAGATATTGCGATTATTTCCTGTTCAAATTGTATCCCTCATGGTCCAGAAAGCTCTATGCAAGTGGATTCCTGCCATGTTGAACTCATTGCCGGATCAGGGCCAATGTGCTTGGCTGATGACAGGATGTCTGTCACTGACACGGACCCTTGGCTGAAACTATCAACTAGCACGCAGCCTGACACCTATACTATGAAAAACCCACCGCACCAAGACTCAGAGCCAAGCTTAGCTTGGTCTTACAGCTCAGGCTCCAATTTTTAGCCCTGCAGCCTAAGGCCAAGACAGCTGATATAAGCTCCAAGACTTGGTGTCATAGTTTTTTTTTTTTTTTTAAATCACAGTGTAGATCTACCCATAGATTCTAAGGATGAGAACATGTACCTGGGTACATGATTAACCAATGAGCATAGGCTTAGTGGTTAATCCTAATAGTTACATGCAGGTCCTCCCAGAGGAGGGGGAGGTGGGACCCAGTATGCACGGGAAGCCGGCTTTTAAACTAGCTACCCATGTTTGTTGACTCCTGCAGAGTCACCTCCCCATCGCTGTGCTGCTACTTCCCACAAAAATAAACACATTTTAATAACAGAGTCTAAGGCCAGAAGGGATAATTGTGGTGATTCTAGTCTGACCCCCTGCTTATATTGTTACGCCTCCTCTCTGAACCTTCTCCAATTTTCCAACACCTTTCTTGAAGCGTGGGCACAAGAACTGGACACAGGAGTCTAGCAGCAGCAGCTGCAGCAGCACCAGTCCCAAATACAAAGGTAAAATGGTCTCCCTATTCCTACTTGAAATTCCCCTATTTAAGGATCACAATGGCCTTTTTGGTCACAGCTTTGGGAGCTCATGTTCAACTGATTATCAACCATGACTCCCCCATCATTTTCAGAGTCATGACTGATCAGTTCTCCTGCTTACTAGGAGAGTCACCTGTGTTGTATGTAAGGCTTACATTTTTCATCTCTACATTTATACATTTACATTTAGCTTGTAAGCCTTGTTATTTATCATTCCCCCAAATTCTGTGTCATGTGTAGTTTTACCAGTGATGATTTTATGTTTTCTTCCAAGTCATCAATAAAAATGTTAAACAGCATAGGATCAAGAACTGCCCCGTCAGGGCCCACTACAAAAATTCCTGGTTCAATAATGATTCCCTATCACCCAGATCTTGCCATTTACCCTTTCAATATTGGCACATTAGATTTCTTCCAGTCTTCTGGAATTTCTCTAGAGTTTAAACACTTATTAAAAATTAGCATTAACTGTCCTGCGAGTTTCACAGAAGGGATGTTAGATACCATGTAACTGAATAATTGTGAAACCGCTAGGGAGGTTAGCGACTAGTCCAAATGCTTATCGGACACTGGACTAGTCGCTTCCCCCACCTTGCTGCCTTATCAGAGAGAGGCAGCAAGGTGGGGAGGAGCAGGAGCCAGTGCTGGGGGAAACAGCTTTATGCCAGTTCCCCCAGCACTGTCTCCATGGGGGGCAGGTGAGGCCGATGCATAGTGGGGAAACAGCACAAGCAGGGTCTGCTTCAGTCCCCACTGGCACCAGTTCCCACTGCCAGCGCTTCTGCTTTTGAAATGTACAAGAGCCCTCTGGGGCTCTTGCGCTTTTCAAAGGCAGAAGTGCCGCAGGGAGTACAGGATGAGTGGGGCTCAAGCAGCACCCCACTCTTAAAAGCCGATTTCCCCCAGCACTGTCTCTGGAGTGCAGCCTATCCTGCCCTGCTGCCTCTGATAGATTCTGCTCCGGCACCATCCCCTGTTCGCGGCAGACAGGACTGCAGAGCAGAGCAGCAGTGTGGATGGCTCCAAAGCCAGCTCCTGGAGCTACCTTCGCTGTGGCGCTGCACAGCACTGTTTATCAATGTATCATATAGTCGATACAGATAACCGCATTTTAAAATTCTTAGTAACCGCATCGAATTTTAGCAGTTACACAACTTTTCAATAGTCCACGGGGGGTAAGGCCGGCAGCCAGTATGCACCTGGCCCCACTCCTGGGGAGCCCCTTGCTACCAACACTGCTGCCTCGTTATCAGAAGCAGCAACACAGGGTGGCAGGTGGGGGCCGGTCCGCAAGGAGAGCCAGTTTAAAAGCTTGTAAAAAGCTTGTAATGCACATGAAACACCACATATACTTCATTGTATATACTAGAAAAATTTGTAGTCACTCTGGCTAGGTCAAGTCTTAACATCCGATAAAGCCGTACCTCAGAATCTACACCAAGCATGGTAACATAATTATGGGAGGATCAGGGAACACTTCCCCTACCCTCACTGCTCTGCATCCCAGATGGATAGTTTTACAGGGAGCCAAGGGAAAGCAATATGAGTGGCCTTGTTCAATGCAAAGAGGAAACAAAGGGCCATTCCCTACCTCTTTCAGTAGCTTACTTCTTCTCTCTTGATGTATTCAACCTGTAAAAGCAATGGAGAAAGGGGAGGGAGAGCATATGGCTGAGTCAGACAGATGGCTTGTTGTAAAGTTATTACAGTTCACAGTCACATCAAAGGCCGCAGACCTTACTATATGAGTCTATCCTAGAGTCCTAGTGTATGGTATGTGGGGTAAAGGGAAATCAATTCTAGAGACCGACAAAGGCACAGCTTCCCTTCTGTCAAAAACAGGATGATAGGAGTCAGCTGTAAAATACAATAATCTGCAATTCAGGCTACAACACAAACAGGGAGATTCAAAGTTGGCCCCTTAAGCCTTCGTGAGAAACCATCTTGCATCATACACATTTTCTAATTAAATTCTGGGCGGACTTTTGTCCACATGGGCACACTCTAATTAGTCTCTAGACAAAAATAAAAGACGTACACCTGAAAAGATTAGAAAGTATATTTGTCAGGCCACAACAGCCATTCATGGTCCTTGAATAAATAGGAAGAGCCACCCTCAAATCAAACAGCAATGAAAATCAATACATTAGTTTGTTTTTATAAAGCTGTTTTACTTCCTCCATAGAATTAATTAATCCCTAATCCTCCATGTTGTGCTACCCTCTTCAGACCCCACAGTCCATAGAGAGCTAGTGCAAAATCAGAACATAAGATAGTTTATAAACTACCCCAAAAGCTTCTGAACACAGGAAACACTGGTAACTCATACATGAAAATCTTGTATTTCTGGTTGCAGCTACGCTGGCAAAAATGGGTCCTGACATTCATCAATAGCAGCTGTAGAGTTCTCAGGCTTCAAGCATTTTAACTATTGTCTAAACCTTCTACATTATAACAGTGGTGCCCATTGAATGTGGTATTTATTACTATGAAGTCACTTCTCATACCTTAGATTGAGGAATAGAAAAGACAAACAGGGTAGGAAGCTATCATATTTTTTAAAAGTAGGATAAATGTTCTGCTTGTCAGATTTGACAGCGTTCCTTGACCAGGGGTGGGCAATAATTTTTGAAGTGGTCAAGGGTGGTCCCAGAAGGGGCAGGGCCCTATATTGTAAGAATACCCCACTATGTTTTTTACACAAAGTAATTAAATTGTAATAATTAACTGAATACAATATTATCCAAAGATTATCGTGAATTGTTCTTATGTTGTAAATTTGATCTGGCAGCTTCCTTATGCATGTGTGCCTTTTTTGCTTTATTCTGTCAATTGTGTCTGATGAAATTTTACTTATGCAGTAACTGCTTATGACTTCTTGCATTCGTATTTTTGCTAAAGCTCCTACAGCAAGGGATCTGGGTCTAACTGAATGTATGCTGATAAACTGGTGTCTCTAATGCCAACAACTTTCCTGCTTCTTATTAGTTCTTTGAATGTTTCCTACTGGCAATGATCAACAAGGTTATGACCCGTAATAGGGAAAGTCCTTTTGTTCCTGGCACCTTCTATAAGAATTTTTTCATTTCATACACAGTATTATGTCAATCTGTGAAATTATCTGGCCAGAAATCAGCTAATGGGATTGTGCTGTGGGCGGGAGCAGCAATTGAAGCACTTTCCTCTCCTCTCCCCTCCCCTCCAGGGCTCAGAGCGGGTGGGGGGAGCCGTGTTAGTCTGGGGTAGCTGAAGCAAAATCCGGTGGCTTCCTGGGCTGTATTTTGCCCAGCCCTGATGTACAGAGAGTTGTTTCATATCCACAATGACCATCGTCACATCAACAAAAATGGGACCCATAATTCAACATCAGCGTAGGTCTTCTTTGGAAAAATGTCTCAGTTCCACAGTGGGTCTGGCCCATGGAAGCTCATCATCTAATAAACCATCTTGTTAGTCTTTAAAGTGCTGCATAGTCCTGCATTTTGCTTCAATATACTTACTGTCTGTTTTACGGTTCTACAGGGATCTGATCAGAGTGCTGCTAGCTTTACTCATACCAACCACGTATAGCATGGACATTGTGCAACCTGTCTGCTCCGCCTGCCTGTTGCCATTGTGTAAGCAGGACTAGGAAATACTGTTGCAACATTTCCCTTC